GTTTATATACAATCTAAGGTTTTTTTCCTCCTGCTGGAATAGAAGTACTAATTTTATTGAATTGTAGTTTTTGTAAAAGGCATTCTCACATACCTACTAGATACCAAAAATCTTTCAATTAATAAAATTAGAATTCATATATTTTTTTGCAAGTTAGAAAAGCTCAGAATTATCTTCAAGAGACATATCTTACTGTACATATTCTTCATGAATTATGCTAGTTGATGTGACACAGCAGCCATCAACACTACTACATACAATCCAAAGTTCACTATAATTTTTCAAGACACTTAAAGAAATTAGTGGATTTTTAGAAATCCTATTCTTGTATGTATTCTTTACATCAATTTTCTAGGATATTTATTAGACATTAAAGACAAGCTGGTGGACAGTGTAAATTAAGAGAAACAAATCCCCGATAAGTAGAACGGAAAGGATGGAACAGATCTCTATACCTCCGTACCAGCACCCCTCCAAGTCTAATACCTCTAGGTCATTGTGTTAGGGGTACAGGTCTTCTTGAGAATCACTGGTGTGGAACACTAGGTCTCAGAAACAGAGGTAGGAAACAGCAGGCAGGGTGGACTTCTCGGTAGCCAGAAGACCAATACATGGCTTCAGAACATCTTCCTCTCTGCCACTTTTCTCAAAGCAATGCTGCATCTTACATCTAGGCAGGCAGGTAAGTCCAAAATGCTACTACTGTAAACCCGATGGAACCCAAGAGGAAACAAAAAGAACTGTCCTCCTAAAAGTGCCCAACTTCAGAGGGAGGCCCAGGGCTTGAAAAACAGCCAGTGCTCCTCACACAGAGCACAGCTGAGGGGGTGTGAGATAGAGATGTCTGGCATTAAGGCTGTGGAACCTCAGGCCAGTCACTGAATTGTCTGTGGCCTCTTTCCTCAGGAAAAGAAGCTAGACTAGATGACCCATAGTTCTGGGAATTCTGTACTTGTCACCAGGCGATAATCTGACTTGAATATTTGATATAGTAATTTATATAGCTTTGGATGGTGAAGAGATTTCTGCCTCACCTCTGGACTGGACACCACTACACCTAGAACACTAGAGCAAACTGTGTCTTGGAATGAAGCCACCATTCCCAAAGTGAGTTTGTGAGAGATTAATCCAATTCACCATTCCCAGATAGCCTATTTCACAAAGCCATCAAAGGGTGATGGGGTCAGCAGGAGGGAAGCAAAGGAAGGATCACAGACAGAAAATTTTCACAGAAAAGCTTATGACGATCCAGCTTTCTTTAACAGCCAGTTCCCACTGAAATGAACATTAGATTTTTCTTGCTTGGGACAACTAGCTGGTCCAATTGAAACTATTATTATTTTATAACCCAAGTATATTTTCATAATGGGGCTTGCACCATTAAGTGAGAAAAAACAATATGAGCAATTCCTCATGCCAACTTAAAATACCTCTGCCTGCAAACACTCCAGTATTTAAACCACAACACCCCCCTAAGAAAGAAAATGTAGGATATCTCAGCACATTCCCTAGATAGTTCCATCATCAATTCAAAGAGGCCCCCTATTCCCATCCTACAGAGAAAATGCTCTGTTACCTTTGTGCAGACACATACAACTTTGCTTCTATGGCCTTTTGAGAAATCCAACTCCTGGGTTCTACATTCTAAAGTGAAACTATCTTGGCTAGACCAAATTTGCTTGGTATCAGGCAAGAACAATCCCCTCCACCCCCTCCAAACCTCCTTTGGACAGCAAACCAAGACAAGCAAAGGGACTACTTTCTATTTGCATAGGAGCTTTGTGATTTGCCAACCACCCACACACCCATGATCTCATCTAGTCTCATAACAACCCAGTGAGGTAAACCTCCTCACTCTACCTTCAAATAAGGTATGCCTACCTCATAGGACTGTTATGGAGATGGCACATAGTAAGCACACAGTAAGTGCTAGCTACTAGGCATTACATACAGCAGCAAATATTACTTCACTCATTTTATTAGTGAGAAACTGAGACTTGAGGTTGGACAGTTGATTCCAAGCAATAAGGCCTCTGGGGCTCATAGCAAGCTGGGAAGGCAGAAAAACTAGTGGAGGATTCTTTGCACCATATCAGGATAGATCCTAATTGTTCAAAACATTACAATCACACATTTCCATGGGAGCCCAAAGTCCTGATTTTGTTCCCAGTTCTCTACTAGCCGAATAGAGTTTTAGTTCTCTGGACCTTTGTGTTGCCATCTCCATAATGAAGTCAGACTCACTTTTTTTTTTTTTTTAACCAAACAAAGGAATGTCAAGCTTCCAGATGAAAGGCTCTATTACAAGTACAAAGTATCATTTAATTACACTGCTGCTCCAGTTATCTGCTTCCCAGCTCCTAACTCCCACTGGGCAGATTCTGAAACCGCATAGGAGATTGTGTCAAGAGGGGAGAACAGGAGAAACATTCTACCCCTGAGCTTTCTTAAATGGGAGAGAGAAACAAAATGAAAAGAAAGGCCTATTTTTCAAGGAGGGGGCTGGGGCAACAATCTTTCCGTTAAGGGGACCTGCATAAGAATCTATAGATTATTTAACGCTGGGGGTGGCTATGGAGTGAAATAAAGGAATCTTTGTGCAATGCCAGCCACAGTTCTCTCATTCCCTCCCCACAGCCAGGCATTTAACCCAACTCTTTAAATCATCAAGCTCTAATGCACCCCATCTGTGTGCCAGTTGTAGCCAATGAAACTGAAGCCTGTGCTGACTTTGGCTTGGACTTGTGAATGAGCCTTTCTGCCCCAGAAGGGGCAGGAAGGAGGACGTGAGGCCAACAAAGACTTTTTTTGCTCATCACTTGTCTTCTCCCAAGCCTCAAGCTCCACCCATCTGTTTATTTGATAATTTCCTGAGCTCTTGCCATGGGTCAGGTTCTGACCCAGAGATGCAAAACTAGTAGACAAGGTCCCAGGTGAGAGAGAACATACAAAGGCTCCTGGGAGAGAGGAAAGAGGTGAAGGAAAACGGCTGCTGTTGGCTGAAGTGCAGAGGCCTAAAATACCCCCATCTGCATATTCAGGGACGTTGTTTAGTTCCAAGTGGTTGCAACATAAAGCAAGGAACTGGCAAGAAACTTCATTCAAAAAAGGCCAGATTGTCTGAGGCCCAGAATACCAGCTTCAAATCTCAAATCTCAGTGTAGAAGGCCACTACCATCTCCACATGTTCTGTCCATCTAACAAGGCCCAGCTTAAACACCACCTTTTCCAGAAATCCTTCCTGAAGGTGCTCAAAGTAACTGCTCTCTCTTCTTTGGGCCTCTAATTTGCATTCTTGGACAGCCTGTAGGAGTCTCAACTTCTCCATCCATAAAATAAGATTAACATCACCTCCCTTAAAGTTTTCTTATGAGGGTTAAGTGAGATAACAGTTTAAAGTGTCAACTAGCAGTTTTTAGTACATAGAAGGTGCTAAAATACATTTATTTTATTGTTACCTCAGTTTCTTATGATACATAGCACTTTCTCCTGGTATTAAAAAGATGTCTTGGCTTCTATTTTCTCTGGAGAGTTCCAGAAATAGGACAGCTTACATTTTCCCTGCAAGCTTGCCGGCCCCCTTCCAAGGCAAGGGGGACTGACTCTTCTCTTCCCTCACTGACACAGCCTCCCACATCCAAATCCCAGACTTAAGGGGTTCCCAAAAGATTCAAGAAGAACCTGAGACAAGATGAGGCCAATAGAGAAGGAAGCTATAGGGTGGCTGGAACATAAATGGCATAAAAGAGAGTAATTAGCAGAAACCTAGAGAAGTGAAAGTGGTCCAGAGGCTAAGATTCTGAGGGCTCTAGGGTTCAAGCTCTGTGGTAACCCTAGATCTTGGAATGGACATAAGAGGAGGACTTCTGTCCTCAGTTCTGATTTGAGAAGCCCCACAACCACAGACATGGTTATCAAACAGCCTCCTTTACTTCCTATCAAATCAGCCAGCCGGACAGGACTGTTCTAGAACTACTGATCTTTCATACCTCTCTGGCTGGTAGTACCAAGCCAGAGGCTGAGAAAATGATGCCACCTTTTCTAACAGCCCTTGAAAGCAGATCAAGAACACTATTTTTTTTTTATTTAGTCTAGGTATGTATAAAGGTTGTTTTTTTTTTTTTTTAATGTTATGAAGTCCCAAGTTCTGAGGAAGGATGCTTTTTAAAGAGAAAAGGTCCTCATAATCTTTCTCTTTTTTGTGCAGTCTAGTAAAACCCACTTCTCCATGGGAATTTAGGGCCAGGAGGGAGTTCCCTTGAAAATACTGCCTTGAAGGAGCCACTTCCTGGACTGCCCACTGGGATGTTGGGTTTATTGATTCATAATCCCCCCAACCCAGTTGTAGGAAACAGTTGCTAAAGCTTTTCCAGGAAGATAGGGTTCTATTCTTCTGATTATCACCAAGTGTTACATGAGGTAAAATACAGTGTAGAACTCCTAAAGATCCCTGAGGCCAATGGGTCAGCTCTTTACCAAGCCTCTTTTGGTCCTCCCCAAACGCCACTCATTTTAGTAATTCAACCAACCATCTTATAACCTTCCCAGGGAGCTTGGAAGGCAATCCTCTCATCTCAGCTAAAAAGCCCCTCCTACAAGATACCCTGCCCCTACCACCTTTCTTAGAGTTCATTTTCCAGGCAGGCAGCACTCTACATAGCATTTAGCTGCAAACTTAGCTAAGCCAGCCAAGTGAGAGGTGCCAATCACTCCTCAGTCCCTCTCCCCTCCAGCCTATGAGCCACCAGCCCCCCAGCCTCCAAAAGGGATGACATCTAATTTCCAAAATTACAAATTTAACTAGTACATCATCCCTCCAACTCAGTTATCTCTCAGTTGAGTGAGAAAGCCATGCAGGTTAGCCCTCCCTGTACAAAAAAAAAAAAAAAAATACAAATATCCCAGGTTCTTTTTGAGAACTATAAACCTGTGCAACCTTATGAACCAGAAGTGTCCCCCCACCCAGAGGAGGGCAAGGAAGGCCTACAGAGAACATATACCTTAGAAATGAGCTCATCATGATTGGCCAAGTGGGCTCTGCAGTGAATGCAGCTGTAGGTCCGGTGGCAGGAGGGCAGATATGCCTGGAAAGTCTTGGATCTTGTCATCTTCACCATTGGCGCCGCTGATTGTGGGGTGAACTCTGGAGTGGCCCAGGAGGCACTCCCACAGGATGGATCGCACGGGAAACACCGAAAGACACAGGTAAAGGCCGTGGTTTGGCAGGGGGTAGGTGTGGGGCAGGCTCCACACACTGGTGATGTCTTCAGAGGAAGGACCCTCAAGCAGAGGTCTAGGGCTGGTTCTCAGCAGCCTGCAGTACCAAGATAAGGGGAATATCATTAGTTGATGGAACAGGACTTCCTGCAAAGCAAGTAGAGTCCAACTACCACCCGACAGAGACGGCAACATTTACAGGAAGAAATGACTCCTTCTCTGTTTCTTACCATCATTGCCAAGATGTCCAATTATTAGAATGAAACTACTGAAGATCCCAGTGTTGCTGCTTTTCTAGAGTTGGAGATCAATATCAACCCAAGGTTCTCAGCAGTTACCCTAGGTACCCTCAACCAACATTTCGAAACTGGCATGATCACTATTCTTAGGGAACCTTAGAAAAGGCCAGGATTAAGGATATGCCACCTGTAGCCCCAGGGAGAAGACTCCTAAGAAGCCTCTTCTTCTGAGCCAACCAAGAAAAGGGACTAAATGAAAAGGAAAAGTTTAGCCTCTACAAAATCATTATATCAACAGGCATGTATTTCTTTTTTTTTTCTTAAAGATTTTATTTAATTATTCATGATAGTCACACAGAGAGAGACAGAGAGGCAGAGTCACAGGCAGAGGGAGAAGCAGGCTCCATGCACCGGGAGCCCGACGTGGGATTCAATCCCGGGTCTCCAGGATCGCGCCCTGGGCCAAAGGCAGGCGCCAAACCGCTGCGCCACCCAGGGATCCCCAGGCATGTATTTCTAATCAATCTCCAGATGCCAGGAGTCTTCCAACACTTAAAACCACCACCTACAGAGGCCACAAACCTCACACTACCCTTTGCTTGAGACTAAGCCTGATACAAAGGTTCCCAACCAGCAAGGTCCCTCACAGTTAGCAAGCTCTTTTGGGATAAATTATTTCCTTTGCCATACCTTGCCCAGAAATAGATGCTTAGTACTTTTTTGTTTGAAAAGAAAGCAAGCAAATGAATGAAACAAATGGCATACTCAGACTTCTGCAACCAAAATTCACAAGGACAGTGAATTTTACCAGAATTTCTCCTCAATCCTCAAAGTTTCCATTAGTCATCCCATAGCACCAAACAGCTCTCCTGCCATTGCCTCAGTAATTTTATTCTATTGAGCACCAGGGCACTGAGAAAGTGGGTGGTTTCCAGACTATGTCCAAATAAAGGTCTGAGGGCAAAGCCCCAAGGTCCAGTACATACTCTGCTTCTCTGGCTCCCCCCCCCCACTTGAAGCTTCTGGGCCTGCCTATTCCCTGAGCTTCACTAATAGGAATGGTGTTCCCACTTGCCTACCTCCCAGGAGAGTCACACTGTTAATTAATGCCTGCATCATGCTTTGAAGATAAAATTATTTAGAGAGATGGGGGAGGAAGACAAACAAAATCAGATCTTCCTTGCTGGATTATGTCTGGGATCCATCTGGATGTTTAGAGAAAGCTGCAAATCATAGTTCTCTTTTTCCTCTAAACCTTACTAACCAAATTTTCCCAAATGGATGCTGACATCTTTCCTACCATAGCAGTCACTGAAAGTACTGTATCCCTGGGTCTCTGTACATCTTCCTGAGTTGCCAACAGCACTGGCCAGCTCTAGACTGAAGGACAACAGTGGTCACACTACTCTTACACTGCATGTCCCTTTGTGCAGTCCTGAGCCACAGAGCACTCCACGCTCAGGGTGACCAATTACACATAAGATGTCCAACTGCTAAAGGGATTCAGACAAGAGCCCAGGCATAGTGTCTTCCCTACTTGATCCACCCACCACTATTTTTAAAGATGTGAAATCAGGTGAAACTGAGCATTACAGAAGTACTTGGAAGAATATGGAGGTGAGAATTAGTTTCCCCAGCTTTTCCTGGGAGTTAGGCCTGGCCATAACAGGAGATGAGGAAGGAAGACACATGACCCCTTAGATCCAGAGCCCCTCCTTCTCACCCTGGACATCCTCTGATAGTAGGTAAGATGAATGAGGTCAAAACAAAAACCCATGGTCAATCAATGGTGTTGGGTGTTCAGGGTGTTGAGGTGTTACAGGTGGTAGAAAGAGCCAAGCATCCTGCTTGAGGTTTCCTGAAATACCCTTGAACTTTCCAATACCCCTGTTTTGCTCTCAGGAAGGGCAATATCTCCAGGAAAGGAAGGGGTGGTAGGTCAGGGTAAGGACTAGGAAAGACAGGCAGCAAAATGAGCTGGAGGCTTGCCTCAGGCCAGCTTCTGAAGTCCACACAGCTTTAGCTGCCCAGTGGGGAGCACTCAGAGCACGGGTCCCATCAGTCTTATACAAACACTGAAGAAAGAAAAGGAAACAATGAGCCCTGGCTGCCAGTCTGGGTTTACAGAATAGCCACAGAGTCTGTTTTCTTATACATGCAGACAGCTTCTAAATTATGCATTTCCCCAGAGTAGAATTATTTCTTCTCTCACTTCTCTTCTGTAGGGGCGGGAAAAAGAAGTTTGCAGGCTGGCAGGGGTTTCTGGTTATGCTCAGCTTCAAATCCAAATTCCAAAACTTGTTCAAAGCTACCTTCTGAGGAATAAGCATTTATAGTCTGTACTAAATGTGAACATGTCACACACAAACACGTACCCATGTACACATTTATCAAACACCATAGCTCTGAACTTTAGACAAGAGAAAAATTGACCCCATAAGCAATGTCCCAGGCTCCTTGGTACTAGAGAAACCCCATAGTGCCTAAGGAGCCGCATAAGACTTTGCTGTTTCAGGATCACTCTGCTCTTCTCCCTCTTTAACAGGAATTTACAGGCATCCAAAAGGTGACTCTTTTCCAAAAAAGCAAGGAAAGAACAAGTGGCTTGTTGAAATATGCATCTCATCCAACCGCTACAGGGCAAGCTGGAAGCAGTGAGAGGAGTAAATAGAAAGCACGCTGAAGCAGAATCAAGAGAGGGTCCTTGTGCCTGAGAGAGAGAGTAGGTTGTCACAGAAAAGAGGTAACAGCTGAAATATAATCACCTATTATTGTCTTCTTCCCTCCTGAGGGAAAATTTTAAAAGCTGCTTCTTTGGGTCAATTCTCAGAAAGAGGGTAAAAATCGATGGTTTCTTTCTTTCTTTCTTTCTAAATTTTTTTAAAGATTTGAGAGAGAGGAAGCTCATGAGCAGGGGGAGAAGCAGGGGGAGAGGGACAAGCAGACTCCCTGCTGAGCAGACCCTGAAATGAAGACCTGAGCTGAAGAAGTCAGATGCTTAACCAACTGAGCCACTCAGTTGCCCTGAATTTTTTTCTTTAAAAGAAAAAATTAAGGGTATAGGGCTGCAGAACTCACATTTTGATTTTTGGACCTTGGTACTTGTAATAGGGCCATAGCTCCATGGGGCTTCATAAGTACAACCCATAGAGTCCAACAAACTGTGGAGTCCAAATTGATTTCCAACAATAATCAAACAAACTTGATATTTAGAAAGCCTTGGGGCATATGTACAAATTAAACACCATTTTAAGTGAAGCAATAATCCATCACAGTGGAAATTAAAGGAAGATTTGCTACCACCCCCAGCTGGCTCCTGCTGATCAGCATTGAAAGAAAAGATGTGAACTATTATGATTAAAAACAAAGGCCTCAGATATCTTACTTTGAGAGCCAAAGGCATAGGAAGCACACAGCAAACCTGGCTGTCCCACCTGATGGACCTTTTCCACGAAGAGCTGTAAAGGCAGCTGAAACTTAAAAGAGAAAGTTCTGAGTGTCCCCAGGATGGAGGGTTAGGAGGTACATATTCTCCAGGTAAGCCATGAAGGGACTCAATGAATGAGGGAAGGTAGAACTCAGAAGGCAGAACTCACTAGAGGAAGTAACACCTCCAGCCACAGGAGGGGACCATCCCATTGTTGTTTTTGTCAGGTGTTTTGGTAGAGGATGAGCCAAGACTGCTTGGAAAAAAAGTGGCCCATGGGATCACAAACCACCTCTACTCCATTCTAGCTCAGTGACCTCTGGCAAGTTGCTCAACCACTGGACCCTCAGCTCCCCCAACTGATACCAACACACACAGGGTTATAAGCAGCAAATGAGATTATGTCAGAGTACATACATGCTGGCATGCAACACACATGAGAATTATAGTTATTATTACTCTTAGTGATCAATTAAAAAAAAAAAAAAGATGCTGCTGCTTAAAAAAAGAAGAGGAGGCCTGAGTTACATTGTCACTTCCATGAGGACACTCTAGCTTGTCCTCAGGCACCAAAGGAGATGGTACTATTGGGATGATGTCTCTCCAAACCTAGACTTCTCATCTCAAGATGAGACAAAGAGATGATGACACTGGAGGAACCATAGGAGTGTTTCCATAATTGCTATTGAGGTCCTTCTAAGCGGTGGCTTCCTCAGTGGCCATACTCCCTACAGGCCCTAAAGAAGTACAAAGAACACAACATCTCTGATTTACACAGCCCTATCAGGCTTCTTCTGAGCCTCTTTCCCCCCTTAAATCCACTCTCTGCAGTTCAACCAGTTACCTATTAAAAAAGCAGATTTAACCATGACCACTCTGATGGCCTTCAGAAAGACAATAGTGGGTAGTGGTTTAGAAGATGGGTTCTAGAATCTTATTCAAGGTTTTCAAATCTCAGTTTTATCCTATACAAGCTGTGTGACCATGGGCAAGTTTACTTAACCTCTCTGGACCATGATTTCCTCATTAGAAAATAATATCAACCTCATAAAGCTCTGTGAGGATTAGCTAAGCTAATACCCACATGTGCACCTGCATATAGTAAGTACACAGTAAGTTCCAGGTGTGTACTACCACTGACAGCCATCTACCACTGACACAAATTGCTTCAGACTCATCTTTACCACTTCATTCTCTATACTGCTATCTTTTAAACTGACACTTAAGGGTCTACCTTGTGTCAGGGACTCTAAGCGCTCAGATTTGGCAACCAAACTCCTTTAGTATCCCCTAAAAGACCATGCTTATATTTCACCCTTCCAGTTTTGTTGATACCATTCCCTTGGCCTGATGCATTCTTCCTACCTGTCCTCGCTAGGCCCTTAAACTTGCCCATTAGCTCAGGGATGCCTGGGTGGCTCAGTCAATTAAGCATCTGCCTTTGATCAGGTCCTTGGATAGAGCCTCACATCGGGCTCCCTACTCAGCCGGGAGCCTGCTTCTCCCTCTCCCTCTTCCTGCCACTTCCCCAGCTTGTTCTCTCTGTCAAGTAAAGAAATAAAATCTTTAAAAAAAAAAGAAAAAAAGGCTCCACTCAAATGCCCTTTAACATGGGGCTTACTAGTCCTTCCCCTGGGCTCACTTCTATCTTAACACTTATCCTATCAAAACTAAAATTATCCTTTTCTGACTCTGGATCCTCTACTAGAGGTAAGCTCCAAGAGTAGGGACCACATTCTTGTACTGCCTGGCCTCAGCAGCACAGAACACACAGTAGCAGCCATTACTGCCTCCCTCTGCCTCCCATCAGGCTGCTGACTAGACCAGTTCACCAACCCATGTGGTAGCAGACGTGACTGAAGTCCTTCCCTTCCCCCTCCAAGTAATGAGGTAGGAAACAAAGTTACTCTGGGTCCCCAGGGCCCATGAAATATTCTTCTCCTCTGAAAGAAATATTATTCTCATTCAGATCCTGTGCAGAGATGCCCAGAACTATGGTTCTTCTGGGCTATAGGAGATTTCTAAGTCCTGGGTATTAATCAGAGGCCTGTCATTGACCTCCAGGTCCATTCTTTGCCTTTGTGGGGAGGCTAGGTTAAATATATACATGTATCGAGAAAGACAGAAGTCAAGTTCTAGTTGGAGGCAAAAAACGGTGGCAGTGGAAAAGGACCAGGTGCGCCATTTCTAGGACTGGGAGACAGAAAAAATAAACTGTGGGATAGAAGGCTTCTATCCCAGGAGGAAGGTCCTCCTTCCCAACTCCTAATCTCACCAGAATCCTGAACCCAGACCCAAGAGTGGAGAAACCCAGTTTCCCTGGACCATCAAATAAGTGGCTGGAAGTGTAGTCCACTGGTGAGGGATTATAGGGTTTAGAGGCCAAAGGACTTGGATCTAGTCTCATTTTCTCTCACTGGCTGCATCACCACTGGGCAAGTTGCCTGAAAAGGAATAACAACAGTGCCTACCTCATGGAGGAGATAAAGGAATCAAATGAGATACTGCAAGTGAAGCATTCAGCATAGCACCTGGCACCTGAGTTAACATTCAAGAACCTTGATTAGCTATAATCGTCCTTACCAGCAAGGGAAAAAAAGCACGGGAACTGTTTCTATTCACAGGACTCAAAAGAGCAGTGTTCCTATCTCCCTCGTTGACTCATGGTGGTTAGAGGGTTAGGGCCTACAGTGATCCACTTAAAGGTACACTGGTTTAAGCTTAGCTGGGGATCTGAAATTATTGCTATATCATTCCAAACAATGAACCACGCCATCATGTAACATAGTAGAAAAGTTACCTCTGCAGCCCACACTGACTCAACTCCTCCCAGGATGGGGCCACCACTAAAAACTTCACTGAAATACCCCTATTATAACTACTCTGGAGCTGACCAGCAAGACACACAAGATCAGGGTCATCATTTCATAGTTACCTACTGTGTATAGCACCGGACCCAGGTGGTACTTCAAATTCATCCAGATGATAATAAAAGCCAGCTTGGATATTCAAGGAACCACGGTCTTTCATAAACAAAGCCAACCATTCATCTCTACCCTGGACACAGGGCCTAGTCTTGATTTCACAGGGATTATCTATCAGATGATAATCCTACATGATCGCTAGGATTCCTTCGGACCTTAAAATCCTGATTCCATGTTGTGATGATGTCTCTGCCAGCCGAATCCTGCCCCAGAGTACAGTATCCATCCAACATCCTTCATTGTGGTAAGACCTTGGTTTCAGCGAGGTCACAGAACATGTCAGTCATGCAGAGTCCACTCAGAAATGGCTGCTGGACGGTGCCTTTGCAACATCTGTTAGCAGAGCAATAGATTACCACATGGACCTTAGTTCAGCCTGGGGAGGTCCCACATGAGGACTGCATCTGTTAGAACATCTGCATAGAAGAGGTTCTTCCCCTTAAACATCCTGACACTTGCATGTAATTCACTAGATATCATACGTAACTGTTACTAGCTGGCTCTGAAGAGATCAGATATTACTTTGGGTTGTTTCTACATTTCCTTAAAAAGAAAAATAGGTAAAAAGCACAAACGATCTGTCTGAAGATTCATTACCAAGGACGCTTGGTTAAAGTTCATCAATGACTTCCTTCTGTTTTTGATATAACTCCCAACTCCAAAGAGAACTTAAGGTAACTTACAAAAACATAAATGATACTTTAAAATAAAGAAATTAGGGTAAGAAAAATGTAAGAACACAAACAGTCAGGACAGAGAAATGCATGCTTTAAGTTGCGAAATATTAATCGAATTTCTATTGCATATTTGCGTTGAACTCCCCAGTAAGCAAAGCAGAAAAGAAAATATCGGTAGTTATAAGGTTCATAATTCCTATAAATCTTGGTTATTCAAGCTACAGATTTTCTAAGACATTTCTCCTATGCATGATTGCAGAGGAGATGATGAGCAGTGAACCCAATAGACAAGACCTTCAGCACACACCAATAATTCCTACCATAAAACTCTTACAAGTCTGTTTCTTAGAGGTCCCTCCATGAAAATGCACGGCATAACAGTTAACACCAAAGGGCAATTCAGTAAAAGGGATTCTACATGGGGATCAAATCAAGACAGCCCAAGACCATGACTTTCTGATGATCTGGCTTTATCCAGTGATATAGATTCTCCAGAGGAATGGAAGAGCTACAGAACCTTCTGGCAAAGCTCCATGAATATCATTTATCACAACCAGGCTTTTAAGTTACAAAAACATGGGCAGCCTCCAACATGCCAAGTCCCAATACTAATACTTTTGAATGCTAACACTATTTGGCCTTAGTGTTGTATTCAGTTAGCTCTCTTGTGGCTGCTTCAGCCTGCTTTTTCCGTTAAACACTCCCCTTCTGCCTCTTCAAGCCTCTCCTGCCTCTTCTCTCTCTCTGAGCCTCAATGTCCCTGGCTGCTCTTCCTTCCTTCCTCCCTCTCCTTTGAAGTGCTTCCATCATGTGCCTGACTGCCTGTTCCCCATGATGAGCACATTCCCATCCACACCCAAGTCTTCTAAACCTCTGCCTCCTTCTCCTGAAACCTGGATCCCTTTCTAAAAGATGTCTCTAACTGGCTTCTAGGAAGGCACTTCACACCAAATGCATCCAAAGCCAGCACCATCTTTCCCCTTCCCCTGGCTCCTACCACCTATACTCTAATTCTGTTCCTTTCTCCTAAAGGCCCAGTTGCCAAAGCAGGAACAACCCTTTATTCTCTCTCCCTTCTATGTCACACTCCATCAGTGCCCTAGACCGTTGGTTCTGGCTCTGTAATCCAGTCTCCCATATCCATCTTCACACCTGGATGTGTGTAAACCCTACCCTCCCCCTCATCCTGAATTCATGTGACAACTTCCTAAACTGGTCTCCCTGACTCAGCTTTTACCTCTCCAGCCCATTCTAGAATTCTATTTATACAATACTCTGATCACATCTCTCATGTTTCAAAACCTCCAGTGGTTTCCTAGCAGCCTATAGGAAAAGGTCCAACCCCTCAGATGGCACCAAGAAACGGGGCTGATTCTCCTTATCTTCACCATCACCTTCCCAGCTCACTCTAAACCTGTTTCCCCAGTAGACCGACCTCGTTCACTCACTACCTTTTCCTAAGTTGGTTCAGCCTGCTGCAAAGCCTTAACCTATCTTTACTGCCTGGTAGATGCCTGCTCATCCCTTAATACCCAAATAAGACCCTAAGAAGAGGTGGGAGCCCCCTTTTTCCAGCATGCAAGAAATTCTTTTCTCCTGAATGGTGCTCCATCACATTGTTCACACATCTGTCTCCCACACTGGGAGCCTCCTGCAGCTCAAGTCCAGTCTTTAACACTCCTTGGCTTCCCCAGGACTCCCAGTCTTGGGCACATCAGAGTTTTTTTTTTTTTTTTTAATCCCTCCAGAGTCTTGATAAATGGTAATTAACTGAGTAAAATGAGTGACCTTCAGTGAAACTGTGCACCCTATAAAGCTGATATTTTTAATCTTAAACACTATCCAGTACATTTAAAATATCTAATTCTGGCGACTACGTGGGACTCACACACCATTAATGCTCCACAAAGTTAAAAAGCCAGCAAACTCTTGTGACGTTAACTCGCTTGGGCTGGCAAATGGAGCACAGTACTCACTCGGTACTGTAGAGCCAAAGCTCTGAGATGACACACAACAAGACCCTCTGGTGATTTTTACTTGGGTGCTGTCTGATGGCAGAGACATTTCCCATTCCACCTTCACACCATCTGTGTGCCACCCAGGGTAGCCTCCTCCCACGAGACCCCAGACTGGCACTGACTTCTGACTCCTGGAGAAACCCTTGGACTTCCAACCCAGGAAGCTTCTTTCTCCCAGGGTGGGACCCTGCCCTCAGACCCCCCAGGGCAGTCTGAGTATGAGAAAAATGAAGTGTCAGATTTGGTTCCGGCCAGCAAGGAAAGGGGTGCCTCGATGCTGCCTCTCTATTCCACATGTAAAAAGCCACATTTGCTCTTTTCCTCCAGCCCCCAGAGCTGCCGCCCTCAGGATCAGTACTTTGTTTTGTGTTTGGCCATGCTCAGAGAAGATAATACCTGGTTAAAACCAAACAAATACATTTTTCTCATGATCTGGAATCCAAAAGGGACTGGCTCCATTTGTCTGTCCCCCAGACCAGGCTACTCTTGAACTACAATGTAAAACAGTCATTTAGAAGATCTATCAAGGAAACAACATTTTGGAAAGTAGGGTGAGCAATGCAGCCCATCTTTAGAAGTTAGTTCACCAGGGAACCCTCCCCTTAGCCTCCACCAATGGTTCCTCTTCCACAGGCATGCAGAGCATTCTTCACAGCTGCAATTGTACTTTTGCTGAGATTATTTGATTGTCATCTGTATCTCACACTCTCTCAAAGATCAAATATTATTTACTGAATAAACAAATGTCTTTGGACCCTGGGCATTGTGTGACCTTGATTTCTCTTTAACTGCTGCTCCCTCAGGGCACAGCTGGGTTCCCAATTAGTTACAAACCATCCATCCCAAATCTGCCAATACAATTCTGTTGTTCAGCTGTCAGCATGCCTTTGGCATCCTCACTTTATTTTTTTTAAATTTTTATTTATTTATGATAGCCACACACACACAGAGAGAGAAAGAGAGAGAGGCAGAGACATAGGCAGAGGGAGAAGCAGGCTCCAAGCACCGGGAGCCCGACGTGGGACTCGATCCCGGGTCTCCAGGACCACGCCCTGGGCCAAAGGCAGGCGCCAAACCACTGCGCCACCCAGGGATCCCCTGCATCCTCACTTTAATCTCCTGATTCAAATAAATCCAAAATTCTAGACTCTGACATCTGTGGCTGGGCTCCCCGCCTTTTCACAATTGGAAGTTGGAAATTGAACTTAAAACTCAAGAGAAAAAAAAGGGCAGAAGCTCTTTCAAAAGGATGCCTGCATGTCTAAAGTCCCAAGTCCCAACCACCAGCTCGAAGATGGATGTATTTTGTCCTGACAATTATTAAACTATCACCTAGTATTGCCATCTCATGAAGAAGAAAAGGAGTAGGGTGGGAGAGAAAGACTGGTTCTGGAGCAGATTTCTGGACTTCTCCTGCTATGGGATTTTAGTAAAAATTATAGCTTCTATTCCTTTTAGGCATGGCACACACATCAAGGGGCATCATGCACACTGCCAGTGCAGCTTTTTCATATAATTTAAGAAACATCCACAAAGCTAGTTGTTTATGGGTCAGTCTTCCCACTAGATTGTAAGCCATTCTTGACCAAAGACCACACCTGGTTAATCATCCTTCATACCCAGGCCAAAGCCCAGCTTGCTCTAAGAGCTCAGAAAGGTTGGTTGAAGAAATGCAGAAGGTGGGGGGAGGAGGTAGAGAGGAGTCATCTGAGGCCCTGCAGCAAAGTGTCAGTAAGCCTTCAGAACTCTACAGTTTATTAATTTCCTATTATGGTCCCATGAGGGACCAAGTACTTGACACGCATTATCTCAATTAATCCTCATAAAAACCCAGGGAGGCAGGCATTATTATGATTACCCTTATTTGAAAGATGAGGAGAAAGCACAAGAAGCTAAACAATTTGCCCAAGATCACTCCACTAGAAAGTACCCGAACCAGCATTTGAATCCTGGGACAACCTTCTACCCACCATGGATCCCTCAACCCAGATGAGTCTGAGAAGAGTCTGAAGATGGACATCCTTGGTCCTTGAGCCCTTTAAAGCAACAAGCAGATTATCTTCCAGAGGAAGACTAAATCAACAAACAAAAGTGTCAAATTCTCATAAAACATCTTCAAACTCTCAGGATCAGTTCACTGCTTCAACTTTTAATTATAGAAACGCGAGAAAACAAAAATGAAAGAAGGGAATAACCTCAACCAGAAGATAGGACAACACATTTGGCACAAGAAAAAGCTAGTTTTCAGTTCCTGTCGCATTTTCCTGCTAAGAGGTTTTTAGCTTTAAGGCTGCAGTCATATTAATTTTTCCCTCAAATTCTACAGGAAACAAACTAAGCCATAAGTAAAACTAACCAAAAGCCCTATTTAATTTGCATTTATAAATAATATACATGTTTATACCATTAATACAACAAATACTGAAAGAATTCATTTCTACTTTATGGTCCATCTGGCCAAGAATCAATTTAGAATTTAGGGAGGGACCCCCAAAAGACAAAAGGCCAAAGTAGCAAAAGAAGAGATAAACAGGAGGCAAATATAATGGATGACATATGCAGGAGCGATACAAACAAGAGAAGAAAAGGAAGTGGCAAAAATACAGTGAGGGAAAGGAGGCCAAAGGTCAAAGATGCT